TTTGAAAAATTAAATAATGATATGTAACCAGGTGATTGAATTTGAAAAACAATCATGAGTATGAATATATTGTAATCTACACAAAAACAGAAATTAATTAAAAGCATGCAAAGCAAAAAAAAAAAAGAAACAGAGGAAAGATATCTGTTTCCTATTACCTCGATAGATGGGAGAACATGCAACAATCAAATCTTAAATCCTCTAAGTTCTGCATGAAAATTGAAGAAATTTCACCATTAAATCAAATACACAATATTTGTAAAGAATAATCATGAAATCATGAAAATAAAAAATAAACATACATGTTGAAGGAGATGAAGTTATTATGAAAATTATGTAATGTCTTGGTTTATATATAGACATGAGGTATTGCATGTGATAGGATAATAGTCATAATTAGAGTTTTATTAGGATTTGAATTTGGTTATTGGTGCTTCAAAATATCAATCGAGGATAAAGTCTCTTAGAAGTTATCACTATGGCTGAATTTGTAGAAATTATGGATATTAACTAATATCCAACTATATCCTAATATCCAACTATATCCCTATGTGAATTTGTAGAAATTATGGATATTAACTTTAGTATTCAAACAAAATATCTTATGGATATTAACTTTAGTATTCAAACAAAATTTCTATCTTCATTTGTATATGCTAAAGAAATTTTGGAACTATTACTCGTTGTTCTCTTGGTCATCCGCAACAACTTTCTTCACAGCAGAGTTTGAATAACAGCATCATTACAACTAATCGTGTTATCTAAATATATAACGTGTTAGTTCTCTTAGTTAATATCTAGATGGGCATCATTACAACTAATCGTGTTATCTAAATATATAACGTGTTAGTTCTCTTAGTTAATATCTAGATGGGGTGTTACATAATCGTGATTGTTTTCTAATTCAAACAACTTTCTTCATTTGTACACGGAAATTTCTATTTTCGTGTAGTGTATATAGTTATTAAAGTTAGTTCCAAAATAACAGCATCATTTCTCATCATTAAATTAAATTTAAAAATTAGAACTTGATTATAGATAGGATAGTTCAAACTTTATAGGGGTATATTTGTCTAAAAAAGATTTTTCCTAACTCGTGCTTTTAAAGGGAGTATGATCACAAGTTAATATTCTCAAGAACACACTGATTAATACGATATAAGTTTCTAGTATGTTAAAACTTTTAATTTCATTAATAATTATGATATTACACGCAACAAGAAATCTGTTACGTCAAATGATCAATATCTTTATGCTACCTCGTTAAAATTTATTACGCAAATTGATCGAAAGCATTGGAAATGATTAGTGATCTAATTAGTATTTAATTGCATAATAGTATTCAATCATATCATACTCCCTTTAAAAGTACGAGTTCGGTAAAAAAATTTCATGACCAATATTACCCTTAACTTTTTTCAAATATTATATTGTTATTCTAATCTATTCTAATTATCCTATCTTTTTTGAATTGGAAATTAAATATTTTATCATATTCATAATGTGACTTAACATGTTATTGGATAAAGGAGATACATTTGATATAATTCAAATTCTTTACTTATTTCACTTCGTGGAGAACTGCAAATATCCCCTACATAATTTATAATTTATAGAAAAATCTCTAAAGTTTCAAAAATTACAAACGAACACTCATAATTCAAAATTTATAAAAAACACCTTGAGAATTTATAACTCATTAGTAAGTAAATTGAAAACATATGAATTATAAATAGTCTATAAACAATTTATAATCTATAGAAAAGGCCTATAAATTTAAAAAAGTTGTAAAAAACCCTAAAAATCATAATTTACAAAAAAACGCCGTTAGTATTTCTAACTTATAGACACTAAAATGAATATAAAGAATTATTGACAATCCCTACAAAATTAAAAATTTTCCAAAAAAATGTTATGCTCCCTTTAAAGTATAGGTTTAGGAAAAACTTTTCATGATCAATATTACCTATAACTTTTTTGAAAAGAACACAACCAATTAAAAATCTATTAAATTTGAAATTTACAAAAAAACCTTAAAGTTTAGTATATTACAAATTACCCCTCCAAAGTTTGAAAATTTTCATTGATTTTATATAATTCCTTGATTTCAATGTAATATTTAATAGTTTTGTGTATTTATAAATTACAAAATTTTAGGGTGTTTTTTATAATTTTTAAAACTTTTGAGGGTGTTTCTTTTGTTGTTTTTAAAATTTTTATTGTGTTTTCAATGTAATGCATAGATACGTCAATTAATTATGATATTAACGAGTAAGTCATTGTTAAGATGTATTATGCCATAGTTAAGTGTGCACATCACTATTCCTAGACAATACAATTATATATGCCAAAAATTTTAGACAATCTATATAGTGGCTAATAGGATTTTAATTTTAATGTACTATTTTTTATAAATTATATTTAATGTGAATCTACCATATAATTTTAATATGTTTGATTGATTGACTATATAGGTATATAGATCACATATTACTTTATTTTCTCACATGAATTAACATTAGGCGCTTAATAATTTAAATTATTACTTCTAAATTTAATATAAAGAGGAGCTCTAATAACATTTATTTATTTACCTAGAGGAGAATACAATCTTAATTCTTATTTTTTACTTGAGATTTGTTCGATAGTTGTGCGTATCAAATTAGTAATTATAGTAATAATTATTTATGATTAAATTAGGATGATTGTAATTGGTCACTCACTATGGAATTTCTATGAATATATATACTTTACTTTTTATAGTTATCTACATTGCCTATGTATATTTTATAAATTAGTTGTTAATTTAACATATTAAATTATTTTTCTTTTGTAGAAATTTTTTCTTTGACTTTTGAATTGTGTAATCACTATATCACCATTCTAGCGTAGAAATGACCTCACTCTAAATGGCTTCAAACTAATATTTGAGTTGAATTGAAGTATATACTATTGCTACTATGTGTATATATTTTTAAAAAAAAATCATGTCGATATTTTTTTTACAAAAAAGAATATTCTAACATCTGATATTGTACAAACTAAATATAACCAATTGAGTGATTAGTAAAAGAGACCTTACATCAGAAAAGCGTGAATAATAAGATAAAGAGGAAAGATAATGGTATTGCCAACAATCTATATACTATTACTAAAAGTTGTTACCCTTCAATTCGCCACTTGGCAAAAATGCCACTTGGCAAAAATGACCCATATCATTTTAAACAACACTTCGCAAACATATCAATTGCTATCTTCTTGCAAGTGCCACTTATCAAGTTTCTACAAAAGTTCTCCATATTAAATTTGAAATAAAAAATAAAAAATAAAAAGTTCTCCTTGAGATTTGAACTAAGGGGGTGTTTGGTTCAATTTCTAGAAATTATATAAAATGTTTTCCACTTAAAATATGATTTCCTTGTTTCTTAAAAAAATTATAGGAAAAGTTTTGAGAAATCAAAAAGTACAAATTTCCTTGTTTTTTGTACTTTGCTTGTTTGGTTCAAAACAAGAAAATGGCCTATAACTTTATAGAAAATAACAAGATTTGGTAGGTTTTTAATTAAATATGGTATGTGTCAGATTTCTGGTGATTTCCTCTCATTTTGAGAGGAAATCGCTTTTTGTAAAATTTGGTATGTTTTGATATTTTATAGAAAATATTTCTGTAAATTTTTTGTTGAACTAAACACAATTTACCGAAATCTCTGAAAAATTTTTAATTATAAATTTGCCATTGTCAGATGTTTTGAGAAAGTTTTCTCAAAAAGTGTGCAACCAAACAGCCCCTAACTCTCCCTGCCTTTTTAATTTTCCAAACAAGATGCTTCGTAAACTGTTTGAACGCTTCGTAAACTGTTTGAACTGTTTGTATTTTTTTACTACATTAATTTTTGTATATTAAACAAATCCGTGCATCGCACGGGCCTGAAACTAGTAATACTAATAGCAAACTACAATGTAAAGTTAACCTATTTTGTGGACTCCAACTATTGGCTATAAACATCGAGGTTTTCATATATATACTTTATAATTTATTAAAAAGGGTTATATAACCTTATATAATAAAATTGATTTAATATTGAATAGTAATAATATCATTATTAGGAAAAAAATTTTGTGAACCAGTATGTGCTTTACGATATATATATGCACTCCAAATTCTTGTGTCTTTTATAGAGTCAAAAAGTTTGAATACGAGCCTCTAACATTTTGCTCTCATAAGAGCAAAATTTATTTAGCAGATGTGGATATTTGAGATAAGTTATATGTCCTATATATAATACAATTGTCCTAGGCAAGTGAGTTATAATAGCATTTTCATTCACATCGTTTGGGGCAAGATTTGATAGAGATCTTGCATCAAAGAAAAAATTATATTCAGAGCACATGGCTAAATATATCATAATCTCACCGCCCTAATTTTATAAAAAAATAAGTATTTATACTTTCAATTTTACTTCTATGATAAGGAGAATGAGCTATAAAATTGAATGTGAATATTAGATAATATAAATATGAGTGATATCACAACTAAAAGTTAACGTGAATATGAGCTAAACTACAACTAAAAGTTTAATGAACATATCGCAAGTAAATTTGTATGCAAAATTCCTTTGCGAATTGAATGATCACCCATCTTTTGAAGACTTCAAGATACTAATAAACGGAGATGTTGTACTAGATCAATGTGTTTATAACTGACAAATAGTAGATCAAGTGGTCACAGTCTGAGTTGAAGAAAACAATGATAGTATTTTATTTGAGAGAGAAATTATTAAGTTGATGATCAATCATACACAAAACTTTGCTTTCTTTTTTATTTTTATTCAATTTTTATCAATTTAAATAATCATCATATTCAACCACGTACATCTCCACTAGTAATTAAAATGTATGTATGAATATCCAATTGAATGATAAATACAAGGACCAAGGAAACGATTTAATTAACCCTGCAATATAATGGGCATATAACAAAAACCTCGTAATTATTAGATGAAATTGAGTTGCAATGCAGATGGTAGATATAATTTTATTTATTTATTAGATGAAATTGAGTAATTCTCTTCTCCTCGTCAAAAACCTAGCCGCCTGTTTCAGTCAAACGATGGAGTCTTCAACTAAGGAAGAAGAAACCCTAGACAAATCCTCAATTTCAACAGTAGAAAAAAGCGCCGATGGCATCAAAGAACAGGATAAAGATGAAGACTTTCACTCTCTTTTGATCCCCGATCCCAATTCTCTTCCCTCAATTCCTCCTTCTGCCGTTGAATCCAACTTCGTCCGTTACTACGCCACAGGTACGCCTGAAACCCTAACTCAAACCCACAAAATAACTTTCTTTTTGTTTCCAGAATGGGTCAAGTGCACTTTAATGCCCTAAAGTTTCACTCTTTTTTTTTAAACTTCGATATGCTGATGAAAAGTTTTTTGAGTTTGGGAAGATTAGCAGCAAACTTAGGTCTGTCGGGCCATTATATTATCAAATTCACCTCAGTTTGAAAACATTTTGGTACCATATTGTCAAATAAGCACTTCAGGATATCAAAGTTAAAAGATGGTGATACTTTAGGCATTGATGTGCATATAAGCCTTTCAAAGTAGGTAAATTTACTCTAATTAGATCCCTCCATTTTTCCATAGATTTTATCAAGCCTGGACACGATCAGTATATCTATCGCCATGCCAATGGGTAGCTACACAAAATTGTTTGTTATCTATTGTTTTAAACTTCAGTTTATTTCATTTTATGTAATTTGTTGGATGTAATATTAGATTATGTGTGGTTGGTTTGGCTCCTACACATGTGGCTTTTAAGGAGGAAGGAGGGATCACAGCCGTCGATTTCAATGTGGGAAAGTCCGATCGGAGTGAGATTAAAGTCACTGGAAAGAGGAAGAGGGTAATCCCGAGATTCTTGATTTTAATATTAAAGAAAGCAATTTTACTGGCTGATTGTTAATGTGGATATTGATTTTCTTTTGTAGAATGCTCAGCATTTGGAATCCAATTCAGCTTTGTGCAAGGTTTCCAATAGTAGTGCTTTCTATGTAGTGAGGTTGTGCAAAAGATGATACTTGTTTGATTTTTATCTGTGATTTTTGAAGATTTTGAAATCACAGGCTTTCTGTGATTGCCTGTTGCAGGTGTTGTGTGAAAGGTTCTCTTTTGGAGGTTAATGATAGGCTGATAAAGCAGCCCGACTTGCTTAACTCCTCGGCATCGGTGAGTATAGATCATCTCCGTAAATAAATGGTACACTGCTGTAGTTACTTGCTTTCAGTATATTAAGAAATTTCATGTTTATATGTGATGGAGGATGATATAGGTATGGTACGTTTGACAAGAATCCTGATATTTCCTGGAAAAATCATTTTTAGAAATGTGCAAATGAGTGTTGATGTAGGATAATGTATTTGGTAGTACTAAGAGCACATTTGACAATAACCTTGATAGTTTCTTGACAATCGTTTTCGGAATTGCACAATTGACTGTCAATGTTGGATCATGTACTAGGCAGCACTAAGAGTACATTTCAAACGAATCATGATAGTTTCTGAACCATCTATTTTTTTTCTGGGTGGGTAAGTTTGTTATTGGTTGTATTTCCTCAAATGGACTTTTTGCTTTTTTGGTTTGTAGCTCAGGATTCTAGTGATCATATTACTCGTTGTGAATGGACCTATGCATATATGAGTCCTAAGATGTTATACCATATTGTTATAGCATGTGACATACTCTAAACTTCATTGCGAATAATATGGAAGTTTCTATTTGAGAAGTCATTGCATACTCATCAATACAAGTGCTCGTGTGTGTGTGTGTCTATATATATATATATATAGTAGTGGTAGTCTGGTTTCCTAATTATCTTCCCATTATTTGGTTGATGGTCCGAGAATCGTTCAGTGATTTTAATCTTGTGTTCTTGTCCTTACAACTAGGTAAAAATGCTTTCACAATATGATCTATTTCTAACTAGGTTTCAGGAACTTTTCATGCTATACTTGTTAGTGGTTTTGCGCACTACATGACACCTGCATTCTCGAATACTTAAGGTTTTCCAAGTAAAAAATATTTTTTAAAGAAAAAATAATTTCAGGTATGAAGAATAGTTTTCTCTTAACTTTATTTAAATCATAAATCCATCAATGTAGTGAAGAATTGAGTTCTTGAATAATTGTACAGTTGGAACCTTTTGAATTGCCTGGGTTTGTAAAAAGCATAAATGATGGTGAACTACAAGATATAGATTCTTGATAGAATTTATTTGGATCAAATAAAATGAAAATACAAATAATAAAAGTGCATTCATCATTTAAGAATAGGAAAAGATACAAATGTGGGCCTCACAATGGGCACCTCACATGCCTAATACTAGCTGCAATTCAAATGCAAATTTCTCACAAACATTTTTCTCTCCTCCATCTCAGATGAAAAAGTACAATCGTTATTTATAGAACTAAAACAAAATTCTAATCCTAACTAATAGATAAAATCAAATCACTCATCATAATAAAATATCATAATAAAATAAAGGATTCATTCCCAACTAAATAACAAACTCAATCCTAACTAAAGATCTCTACCAAAAGAAAAATCAAATCCTTAATAAGAAATCCTAATCCAGTCACATCAAATCTTTTTACCAGATTCAGATCTGAATCTGTCTAGCATCAATAAGGATTTTCATTTTGGATGTAACTTTGTGGGATTGAGTTTGTTGTCCGAATTGCAAAGATCATTTTATAATCTAATGATCTTGTTTGGATGCCACATTAAATCAAACAAGTCATGACTTTTTATCAAAAGAGGAACTTCTTAACCAAGAGAGATCTTTTGAAATGGAGTAAGGAGTGTTATCTTCTTTCTAATCCAATAGATTTAGATAATCTCTTACATTTCAATCCTTAGAAGTTTAATTTAATTTTGACGGGAAAACAAAGCTGACATTCAAGTTTAATGAAAATTTAATGGAAGCGGTCTATCTGGACCCAAAAAAAAAAAAAAAAAAATCTAAAAAAGAACAAATCAGAACGCTGAAATTTATGTCCAGTGTGCATGTGTAGAAAAACAATTGTAAGTTTGTAACTGGAGCTAAAGTGACAAATTAGGTAATGTCCATCCATTTCAGAGATAACAATGAGACTCAAAATTTTGTAGCTTATGTTAAATTTTGTCTTCATCAATTGATGGATCAAAAACTTGGTTAAGTATTGGGTATGCTTATGTTTCTATTTTTGCTGGGGAAAACTGAAGTTGGTAAAACTTCAGGAAGAATGTATATCTTGGAGCCGTGCACCATAGCTAACCTCATTTAAATGGGAAACAGCATCGAAAATGATGACGATGACCTTGGAAACCAATATTAGTGTTATCTTTCTATTTTGCTCTTGGATTTTCTTACCTTTCTCTCTTGTCTTCAAAGCCAAGAGGGAGAATGACGGTAAGATGAAAATAGGAGGTATGGGGGTAGTGAAAAATGAATGACCAAATAAGCTTACATCTAAACTTGAAATTTGATTGCTTACTGGAAGCTTTAGGTTTTACCTTTCTCGAGCGTTCTGTTTGCATTTTGATCTTTAGTGCTATGTTTCAGATATATAACTGAAAGGCCTAATGAGATGTTGAACTTCCTCTTTTTTTTCCAAGATTGTTTCTACACCATTCATTCTATTTGAAAGCCACCTTGATTACTGTTAACTAGCAATGCATAAAATTAACATTAAGATATATCTAGTCCTATGTAAAAAAAAAAAAAAAAACTAATATGTTCTGTTTAGACATGCTCCTAAGAATGCTTACCTTGTGTAATGCTCTGATCCTCAAAATTTTGACATGCTCCTAAAAATGCTTACCTTGCGTGATTATGTACGGTCTCTGCTTTATTCAGAACCTTTACACTTGTGTTGCCTATCCTTGTTTTATGGGGTAAAGGCCATTATTCTCATGAAAAGTTCCCTCTTCAGGCTACTCTATAGCTTGTATGGTGGGAAGTAATAAACAGTTTTAACTATATATGCTCATGCAAGAGGCAAACTGCAAAACTGAATGGCCAAATGCACAATAATACGCCTCATCTTATGACTATTGTAGAAGGCTACAGTAACCGGGTCTGTTTGATGCAAAAATGTCTAGCCAGAAGTAGAAGTTTGTTTGTGTTTAAATGGAATCAACTTTGTAGAAGCTAATTTGCTATTGATTAATGTCAAGTGGCTAAATTTTTGATGGGTGTGCTTTGAAATATGTCCCATATCCAACTGGTGTTGTTGCTTGCGCTCCAATTTATTTGTGCAAGAAACCTTTTGAAAGTGTAGCCTTCTGACCTTGTAAACACATCTGGGGACCTTGTAGTTTGTTTCCTCATCGCCTTACCATTCACTATTGCAGTCACCAGCTTTTCTTATGTACTACTACATTTTTTGTCCATTCTTTTTTGTTTTAATTTATTTTCACTGCTTCAAACAGAATTTTCAATTCAAGCTATTGCTTTGAGGTTGTCTGAAAAGTTCGACACTTGTTTCAAAGAACTTTTTCTAGGATCTTGAAGATGCATTGTATTAAAATATTTGTTTAACATTCTACTTTATTTTTAGGAAGTAGATCCTCAAGTTTCACTGAGCTCTACTGGAATCACTTTTATCTGCTAATGTGATGAATGCATGATTTGTAATGTTAACTTTATGATTTAAATTTTTTTCCTAAATCCTAAGCATTAATAGTGCCGACATCTCTGGCTTTTAAATATTTTAGTTTCCATTCACATGATCTTTCAGTTGGTAGGTAATAGGTGACTTTGAACTTATTGTCATAACATCTTCTATGGGGGTGAGAGTTTCTCTTAAATTGCAGGTTGAACAGCACGCTGAAATAGGTAGCAAAGCCCGTTTATATGAATTTCTTGTTAAATGACAACTATGATCAGTTTTATGGACTGTTTAAAAACCAGATACAACCTTAAGTAATAATCCTAGTGAGAGGTTAAGTGTTAACAAGAAAAGAAAAAGGGAATGTGAAAAAGTACCCCCCTTAAGAACTTTCATGAGCATGTGTTACCCTACTAATTTATAATTGTCCTGTTACAGGCAGCTCGAGAAGGATATATTGCAATTATTATGCCAAAACCAACAGATTGGCTCAAGATCAAAGATTCATTGTTGACCCATGAAGGCTATCATAAACTGAGAGGTCTTCTAAATTAGCAGGAGGTAATTCCTTCTGTTTGAAATGGTCACTTTCTTGCTCAATGATACTTGAAAATCTGAAATAACCTTGTAAATGTGAAATTTCACTAAGAAGTATGATATCCTTGTATTCATAGCTAGGGAGAACTTTTTTTTTCTTGTTTTATGTTATGCTTAGAGGAAATCACGAGGAACTATAATTATACTCTCATCAGGGATGGATCCAGAAAATAATTTCTATAGTGGACACATATTCAATTATATGTATAAACTAATAACATATAAAATATAAGTTTTACTAACAAAAAACTTATTTATACAACAATCACAAAGTTCTCAACACAATACTTTTCACCATCATTTTCACACAATATATGATATTTTTCATTTTCATCACCAAAACTAACAAAATACTCTAGTTACAAACAATATTCCTTCATAGAATCATAATTGTTCCCTACGTGGTCTCATATGTTGTTATCTTTGTGTGATTTTCTCATTTTCCATACCATTAAATATGTCTTTCTTAATCTACGTAACTAAATAATCATTCGACCCAACGTTTAAAAAAGTGGAAGCGCAAGGTGAAGCGTTATATCGTTTAATGAAGCAAAGCGTAAGCTTCAAAGCGTGAGGCGCAAGTCTTATGAGTTTAAGTATTTTAATTTTAAAGTTCGTAAAAAGTATGAACATATAATATATAATGGTATGATAATTTACAAATAGATACATTCATGTCCTGGTTAGTAAATAAGAATTAAATATGTAAAATATTGATGCGAATCATAATAAACTAATTGGCATGCATAACTTATTTATCTTATTTACACTCACATGGTCATATTGAAGATACATAAGGCCATTCTAATGTTAGTTAAAAATATTTGTATATCCTCCTGTCTAAAGCGTGGGCTTCATAAGAGAAACGCTTCATGAAGCACGAAGCACACACTTTATTTATGCTTTAAGCAGTGAGGCGTAAGCTTCAAGGGATAAATAGTTTCTCACTTGAGTTTCGAAGTATTTACTCTTTAAAAGTTGTAAAGTGAGTTTCAAAAAAGCTTTTTCAAACATTGATTCGACCATTCATATCTTTTATGATTCCACATTCAATTCTCTATGATTTTCATTGCAGAGAAAGTTCTTTCAATAGTTGTCATTGCTAATGGTAATATCAAAGCTAACGTCACAAGTAAATATACCAATGGATATGCAACATGCTTCTTTGTCTTGAGTTTGAGTAGTTGGTTGAAAGATATGGATGGCTAAATTCAAAATATGAAGATTTGGGGGATTAATTTCTAAGCACAAGTTTGAGGAAGTAATTTCAAAATATCTAGATTTGGGGGAAAAATTTAAAAAAAAAAAAAAAAAAAAAAAATTGGGGGACTAATATCAACATAAGAGAGAATGAGAAATTTGAGTTTTAATTGGAATATGTTTGTGCCATTAGGTGGGTTGGGTTCAATGTGTTGGGGGCCCTGTTAGAATTTTATGGGGACACCTCATTGAGTAGGAGACAACTGTTAATTTCCTTATAAAATATATGGGGGCATTGTCATCCAGTGCCCCCAATGTAGATCCATCATTGCCCTCATAGGATTAACTAGTCTCATTTCCCTAAACTTTTCTCGCATTTTGCTCAGTTGTATATGCGTTGTATATGGTCACTCTATCTTGTATAATAAAAAATTTGCCTTATTTTGTTCCAACTCCATATAATATTTACAATAACGTTATAAGAGCTACAACATAAAGGAATTTTTGACGTACTTTTTGAAACAAATACCTTTATGCCTCGTTTGGTATGCGGCAAGGGAATGAAATGCTCATTCCCACTTCCTATTCTCGCATACCAAACATAATAAGATTTTTGAAGTTGGAATGCTTATTTCCTGGTAATATCCATTCCTACTTTATGTGGGAAAGAGCATTCCCATTGAGTTGGTAAGAAATGAGCATTCCTAGTTAAGTAGAAACCAAAATAATTACATAATTTTTTGTCCCATCCAGTACGAAAACAATCTTAAAAAATTGCATCCCATTGACTACGCGACGACTCGTACATTTAAAAATTACTACTTATATCAATTGTCAGATCACCTTGTATACTGACTAGACTTGATTAAATTGAATATAGAGTTAATATCAAGAGATGTTATTTAAATTTGTGAGCATTTTGATTAAAATTTGATGTGATTGTCTAAGGCACTTTGCTCATTCACACAATTATGCGATGAAATAATTGGAACCGTGGGATAAAAAGATCATCATGCTAAAATTTATTCTCTTCACTAAGCATATAGTGACGATAGTAACATATTAGTTGTTGGAATAGACAGTGGGCATGTAGTATTAGAAGTTAGAATGTCATATTTGTTTTAATCTACAAACTAGTCTTGTGCCCGCGCAATGCTGCGGGATTTTTTAAGGCGCCTTTTTAATGGAGAAGAAGATGATTCTAGACATAATTATTTATTAACAAATATAAGAACAATTTTTATTATTAAGACAATCCTCTTACCATCATTGTTTTCTTTTAGCCATTAGTAGTTGATTCATGATTTAAATTTATTAAATAAATTATATTCATTATAACGAAGGACAAAGAAGAATCAAGAAAGAGAATTGAAGCGAAATAAAATCCCCAGTTAAAAATATATATGATAGTTTGAAATCAAGTTAATGATAGTTAGAAATCAACTTACTTTTGACTTCACGTTATCATTGCTAATAATAGAAAGCTTCTTTCCGCCATAGAAATAGAAAAGGGAACCAAATGAAACATGTTGCTATGGGCCTATTAGAGAAAATGAGATTATGTATATACATAATAGAGGGAGGGGGTTACGCAATGAGATATGAATGGTCCATGAAATTGATAGAATTAACAAGTGTTAAAAAATTGAAGGGTTTTTAATAGATGTGGTAGAGATAAAGAGTTTAGTTGTTAATTATTTATTAATTATATTTAATGAGTAATAAATAGGTTGAAAAAGGAAGGAGAAAAATCTAAAAAAACAAAAATAAAACCAAAATAATCATAAGTTGCCAAGTGGCAGTTTAGGGCCTTACTTCAGTATATAGATAGATATGCTATTTTAATTCCATTGTTAGATTTTAAATATAACAAAAGTAATGATTAATCTAAAATGTAATTATTTCTATCAAAAAATAATTTCTATGAAAAATATTTCTCGATGAGTAAGTCAACAAGAATGAAATAGTCGATGAGGTGGTGATGGATAATAGAATATCATCGGGAAAAGTCGGATGAAAGAACACTGATCTGCTAAACAGTGTCAATTAGTATCACTGACGAGTACTTTTCTCTTTTTCTTTTAAACACAAGATAAACTAGGATATAACTAAGTTAGAGATAGAAGATAGGTAGTTATACTGGATTCACTCACCCCATCTAACCTCTGAAAATGATAGAAAGGGCCGGTTTCACACACGCACGCTAATCAAAACACAATGGCTTCATGCCTTTGAGGGGTCACTCCACAACTTTAAAACTAAATTTTATTAGTCATTGTCTATCTCCAAAAGGGAGATGTTACATCTTATTTATAAAAAAAACCTTAATACTAAAAATTATATCAAATCACTGAAATCTTATCTAATAAAATTGAAAATCATCATAACCAAATAATTAACAAAAATATCTGAAAAGATAAAACCGCAAACTGCCAATCCCTATCAACTACAATGTAATGTACTATAATAAGATGAAACAAAATCTCAACTACATTACTAAACAGAACCAACCTTCATAAAACTTATTTCTAAGAAATGAAATTGAGTCATTATTAGTTTTTTTATATTTTTAAAATTCTATGTTGTAAGGGCATTACCAGAAAACAACATTTCATTCTCACTTGCGAACAAATGATACCAAACATGGTAACGCGAATGAGATTGTTATTCCCACTTCATCCTCTAATCGCGCCCAAACATGAGAATGAGAATGACCATTCCATTCCCACATATATTCCGTTTCATCCTCTGGCCCATTCCATTCTCACTTGATATGATTCTTGCGTACCAAAAAGGCATTCTAGAAGAAAAACATACTTTCCCTTTTTTAAACACTAGGAACATTGTTTACAGTCATAAAGCGTAGAAGATGTTTACTCAGGGCAATATGGTTTTGTTTTAAAGGAATAGCTGCCTTGAATCATGTTTCTTTGGTGTAGCTATATTAGTTTTGGGTTAATTAATGATGATATTCCCCAAATTACTTCTGTTCTCTATTATTGTATATTCCTGTAACACCAAGATCACGACGTACTGAAGTTAGTATTGTATTGTATCTTATTATTTTCTATCTGAGTATTTTAAGCTGTTGAATAAATGAAGAATTTGAACGGTTCACTAGCATCGGATCCAAAATGAAGATGACAGTTGTAAATTGCATCCCTTCTGTCCTTATATATCACTTCTCCTAATTATCTGCAACTCATTCATCAGATTTTTGTCTCTGCTTATGCTCACACCTGGCTTTCCTTTGTACCCTCCTTTCTGGTTTCCCTCTGTTTTGGAAAGCATGTTAACATGTCTTCTTTAAGTTGACGATCCGTACACCGATGTCCTTTATGGTATTAGGACTCTTAACTGCATTACTATCCTTGTCTTTGTCACCTCTGCACAAGGCCGGCGCTAGCATACAGGTTGAACTCAGGAATTGTTCTAGGAACTTGATACAGGTGGAGAGTTAATTTTGGAGAGTTAATTATCATCTGGCATGGATCTTATTGTTTTCTTTTGGAGAGTTAATTATCATCTGTCATTCTTGTGGAATTTTGTTACTGTTCTTGAAGTTTATGATAGTTGCAGGTGGCTTCTTCCTTTGTCCTATCATCTTCGGGCACTAACAGGATTTGGTTTAGTTGTTACAGTTGTTATCAAATACTTAAAAACTATACAATAAATCCCTGGTGTTCTGTCTGCATGCTACTTACTGGATATGTCAGGCTTCTTACTTCATTAGGGTCTAAGTTGATATGCAATTCAAATTTTGCTCAATCCCTTTCAAGAGCTCTCTCGACTTGAGTTGATGTTTCCGTATTTGACTCCATCTTGTCTTGAAGGCATATGTGATATAGAATATGTGTATTCTTATTTCTTCTTATGGATGTATAATCTAGCTTCAATATAGGATTGCCCAAAAATATCCGTATCCGAGGAAATATCCATGTCCATATCTCTCCACTAAATTCTATAACAGATTGTATATGGTCACTGATACAGATATATAGTGAAATGTCCGGATTTGTATCCGAAATTTCTGAATTGGTCATACATTTGCTATAGTTTTAATCCTTGGTTTAATGGATTTAACATTAATTTCAATGATCAAGATATCTAATCTTTTAGCTTTTCAGATATAACGAGCATATTAATGAACACTTTTGTATCATATAAACTATGTATTTTTAAATATTTTATGGTTTTCTCATATCCGTTTTGTATCCGCATGTAATATATCCGCATGTGTATTCGTATCCATATCCAATTTTAGCGGATATGGACGCAAGTTTTCTTTACTGAGGTATATCCGATATCCATATCCGTATCCGTATCCGTGATTGGTAAGCGGATATGTATATGGTAAGTATCATATCTGAACCTTATCCAAACTGAATGCATCCCTCAATAGTCATTTCCCTAAAACTTTGTAAATTGACTCCATCTTGTCTGGAAGGCATGTGTGACACGTGATGTGTACTTTGTGGGTTTTCTTCTTCTTCTTCTTCTTCTTATGGATGTGTAATCTAGCTTCAGGAATCATTTCCATGGAAGTTGATTCCTTGTTATTTATGCGGGATGCATTGATTCATATTTGTGGCCTCGTCCAGGTGCAGGGTTTGTATTATCAGTTGTATGAGGACGACAGCAAGCTCATGGTTACACATGCTGCAGCTCTGGATAAGGAAAAGAAGACAGCAAAATGAATATGTTAAAAATGGATTTGTTAACTGCTCATCACGTTCCATGGAATAAAATCAAAATTTTTATCCAAGCCATTTAAGACTTGGGCCACCGAGCTTCCTTCATGCGTGCGCAATAAATCTTGACCTAAGTTACGTTCAGAGGGGCGGTATTTTGAGTTGTATATTTATTTGTGGCATTTTTTGTGATATTCTTCTCATTATGTACTTCAGTGAGAAAGATGCAGGAAATTGTATTGGAGCTTAGCATCTACAAAGTGAGTTATTAGAGTTCTTTTGTCGCCTTGGAGCCTATGTAAACGTTGATCATGCTTTATTAGAGCTGCTAACGTAGTTCAAAGATACTGGATAAAAATTACTTAACTTAGATAACTCGGCCACGTATCAGTATATGCTTTATGGCTCGGCAATACATTCCTCGGTCAAACTCTATCACCTCGTTAGGGAGATCTTTTACTCTAGTACGAAGGAATTCTTGAGGGAGATTACTCTCAGATCTAGTAAGCATTACAAGATCAAACCCTTAAACCGTGGTCAACAAATCAACAAAGAGAGAATAGACGATAAAATCTGCTTCCAAGAGCTACAAGAGCAAAAGATTTTACTACTAAACAGGTAATCATGACATAAAAAAAAAGAGCCGAAAACCTTATTTCCTCTTTCATTTCCTAAAAATGAGCTGAGAACATACTTGAGCATAAAGCAACGAGGCTACCATAGCACAACAGAGATTTCTAAACATGAAAGAGTAATGATCAACGCTTGCAAAAAGCACGGAGGGTTTCGTCAATGGCCTCGCTGTCGTAGCCTCCAGTAAAAACACAATCACAATCGCCC